CCAGCTGCTGTCGTCGCCCATCTGGCTGGGCGTGATATGTTCGAAAGTGACTCCTGCCTGGCGAGACATTGGACGCTTTGGTCCCTGCCCCTGCGGCAGGCCGAGCGTCTGGGCGCGAGCAGCGATGGCATCTGAGACACACCACCGCCACTTCTCGGCCTGGCCGGCCGCGGCCCTCACGCTCTCCAGGTCCCAGTCCGTCTCCATCACGCCGTGCCCGCCGAAGTCGTGGCGGCTGGCCCCCGAAGCGTCGGACGCGGTCACGACCGTGCTGTAGGGCCGCTTGGCGTCCACGAACGCGAAGCACACCAAGGCCGCGGCACGCCGCAGCTCGGCCTCCACGCAGGGCCAGAGCCTCCACCTCCTGGAGCCGGCCAGGGCGATGTACCTGTACGTCTGCGCGAACACACTCAGCAGTTCGCGCCGCAGGATCGCTGCCCAGCACCAGTGGCCAAGGACATGCCGAAGCTCGTCTCCCGAGGCCCACCCGCGGGAGGCCGTGTGCAGGAGGGCCAGCCTCAACTTCCACGTCCGTGACCGAGAAAGCCGTATCTTGCCAGAGGCCACCTCGAAGCTCAGGCCCGTGAAGGTGGTGTCCGAGCCAGCCGCCTCCACGCCCTTGCACTTCAGACCCAGCGCCTCCAGCTTCGCGGCGACCCGCTCGCAGTCGGAGGTCACCAGGTTAGCCTCCAGCCCCACCACAGCAACTCCGTCCACGTAGACGGCCACACGGTTGCGGTCCGTCACCGAAGGGGCTGCACGGCGATCCTGGATGAAGTCGGACAGGGCGAAGCCAGCGGCCTGAACACCAGCCATCACCATGCATTGGCAAAAGTAGAGACTCCATGTCCACCCCATGGGAAGCACCTCTAGGCAAGGTGACGCCCACGCCTCGATCCCTGGCGGCAGCTGGTCTGACAGGTCAGGCCTCAGCTTCAGCAGGGTGGGAAGGTGGACAGCTCTCAAAACGAACATCTCCTGCGCCCCCCGCGGCAAGCCGATCCTGTAGAACGCGTTGTCCACGTCGGCCTGGGCGAGGTGCAACTCCTGGTCCATGGGGGCCTCCAACGCTGACCGAGCCCCCGCTGTCGGGGGCACTGTGTGCGCTGGAGCTTCAAACAAGTCATTGACACGCCGAGGGTCAATAATTAAGCGCTGCATACCATTCGATTTGTGCACAAAGAAGGCGCCCACCGTCTCCTCCCGCTGCTGCGTCAGGGAGACCACGCCGGCATCCAACAGGTCGCCGACGAACTGGGCGTAGGTAGATCGGGAACGAAACTTGCCGTCGTAGTGGGGCTTGGGCGCCTGGCTGCCGCCCTCGGGCTGTCGCTTCAACAGCTGCCTCCATCCTACCCATTGCTGTAAAGCTTCTCCCTCCAGGATGCGGCTCCCATCAGCGAGGCCGCCCCCCTTCGGCAGAGAGACCAGGGACCGGTCGTAGGACGCAATGTGCTCCGGCTCGAAGACGTAGCCGTGCCCAGGTCCGCACAGCTCTCGGTGGGCTGCCGCGGCGGTGCAAGCTGGCGGTGGCCCGGCGTCCTCCACCACGCGCCTGACATGCTCCAGCCCGCACTCCTGCGCGAGCGAAGACTTGCCGTCGGCGGGCAGCGACCCGTGGCCATACAGCTCATTAATTGAAACCAGAACTTCCTGCGTCCAGGCGTGGAGGTGCTCCTTCTTGCGGAGGCGGCTCCTCGCAGCTCGGCTGCAGGCGCCCACAGGGGGCGAGGGCGGCGGGCCCGCGGGGATGGCCACTGGAAGCAGCTCCCGCGGGACCGCCATGGGAGCGCCGTAGGCTACTTGGCCCCCCGGCCGCCACCGCGGCCGCGTCCCCCGCCGGCGCCTCCGTCGCCAGCAGGTGCAGTCTCACCGACCTTGTCCATCAGCCTGCGGATCTCGGCGGCCTGGGCGTTCACCTTCTGCTGCAACCCCTGGGCCGCGGCGGATGAGCTCCTACCTGTCCCCCCTCCGCCGGGGGCGCGGCTAGCCTGCCTCTCCTCCTTCAACTTCCTGCGCTCCTTCATCACGGCGGCCTCTTTGTGGAGCTGCTCGGTGATGTGGTCCGAGAGGTCTGGGCTCACCATCACCAGCCCACGCGTGAGGCCGGTCCCCATGTACAAGAACTCATCCTCCGCGAACTCGTCACCGCCGTGCTTCCCCAGGATCTTGTCGCGATACCGCATCTCCGCGAGCTGCGCCCTCCTCAAGAGCAGCTCGAAACTCGCTAGCTCTGTGATGTTGAGCTGGTCGTACACCACGGCGAGCTCTATCATTCTCATCGCCAGCTCATGGTCCTGACAACCGATGTCCTGACCACCCACCCCCGCTTCATGTCTCCATTTCGTGTGTCGCGCGCGGGGGTGGGTGTCCTGCTCAGCGATGAAGTCGAGACACCACCGGGCGGTCCTGGGGCCGAGGATCGGCCACGCCGGCCAGCTTGTCTCCGTCATCTCTCTCACACTATCCTTGAATGGGCGCCGTCGCTCACCACTCGGGCTCTGGACGATGCTGAGCACGCGGGCGTCCGAGTCCAAGTCATCATCGACACCTGAGCTCCTCCGCAGCAGCAGCACCTCTGAGCCCTTCACGGCGAGCGCACCCACGTCACAGACAGCGAACTCGTCAACGTTCAGGTTGCCCAGCAGAGTCTTGCGCGGGGTGCCGCCCGTGCTCCAGACGACCTGCCAGCCGTCGGGGGTCGGGGGCGGCAGAACCCGCGATCCGACCTCAATCAGATTCGCCACCGCTCCACCCCCAGCTGCCACTACTGCCAGCCGGGGCTCCAGCCACTGGTCGCCGATGCACAGCTTGATCATCTTGGCGAACTCCAGCGGCGTGGCGCCCCAGTCCGAGCCATACACGCGCGTGCGGTTGGTGAATCGTGTGCCGAGGAGCGTCGCCCGATCGGGCCGGCCCTCGTCGTCGCACAGGATCAACCCGCTGAGCGGGCCCACGTCCAGGCAGTGAGGGTAGGCGTCGCCGTCCGGGGTCCCGCACCACCATATCTTCCCTGCTGCTATCTGTTCGGGAGTCGCTTGAACTTCCATGATGGCCTGCAGATCGGCGGCGGTGGCGGGAGCGATGGCGACGCGGGCCTGCCAGTCCTGCCCATCCCCCCACTGCACGAGCAGCCTCCTGCCGGCCTCCACGGCCATGGGGACACCCACAGCACAAGGCGCTCGCCAGGAGGAACCCGAGGATGAACGAGGTGCTCGCCAGGCCCCGCGTGCCGCCGAAGAGATCCAGCACTGCTACACACTCGCCCGTACTCGCAACCACGGGCGCCAACACACTTCTGATCGTCTGCGAGGCTGTCCAGCCTCTGGAGAGAATGTTCCAGGAATTGGAAAGAAGGGCAAGCTGCATGCGGACTGACCGCAAATTAATGCACTTGAGCCCGATGTCCATGGATGTACATCGGTTTATCGAGGCGGCTGCGCTGAAACTGAGAGCACTAACGTTTGGAAAACTGAACCCTATATAGGTTCTGCCCGTCGCGGTTCCAGAGCATGTGAGACGGAAAAGGAGTCTCTGGAAGAGGACGACTCCTCAACGGGGATCCGTTTCTAATGATCCCGGGGCCCAGGGACGGTTCCGGGAGACTGGAAACAACCAAAAACCTCCTCGAACCTCGGTCGTCCATCGATCGGTCCTCGACCGACGCCGACGACGAGGACGGCGGCGACGGCGACGACGACGACGAGGACGACGGCGGCGGAGGAGGACGACGACGAGGACGAGGAGGAGGAGGACGGAGGCGTGTGGACGCGTGCTGGGTCCCAATCCAGGCCCCAGTTCCCTGGGGAACTCGATATGGGCGATTTCGACAACCCTGGACCCAAAAACGTTTTCATCTCTTGGGGACGCATCTTTTGCTTCCGCCGCCTTCCGCCGGCTTCCGCCACAGGAGGCGTCCTCGTTTTACTTCCGCCGACCTCCCGCCGCTCTTCCGCCGCGGAAGAGATCACAACTTCTTCTCTTTTATCCTCGAAGGCAAGGCCCTTTTTGAAACGCCCCGTGTGCTCTGCACCTCCACCCAAAACAGCGTTGCGAGGTGTTCTCTCGCCTGCAGCGTTTTCTGCTCGGGCGCCACCGGCGCCCCCCGGAGCCGCACCGGGAGCCGCACGCAGCGGGAGCCTCCCGCGACGTGAGCGCGCCCTGGTGCTCGGGGGGCCACTTGCGCTGCCCGAGTCGCTGCGAGTGCTCGCGGCCGGCCTGGACCGGCACGTTGTCTTTCGTTATGCTTTCGCTTTGCGCTTCGTCCTGCTCTGCCTGCTCTCCTACACCGCCCTGCCGAACCGAGAGAGAAAGCACCGCCGACGTCCAGCAACACAGCGCTCAGGTCCAGCCTGGGCTCGTGGGAGCGCACGCTCGGCGCGGGCGGGAGGATGCATCGCCGGGCGCCCCCGCCCACCCCCACAGTGACGACGACAGACACGCGCGCGCGAGAGTTTCCCATCAACGAGGGCGTGAAACCTCAGGGCTCGTGTCGGGGATCCGTTCTGAGAATCTTGGACTGCTTCCGGAAAGGCTGTCGATGGGCATGCGAACGGGCCGTCTGGGTCGCACAGCTGCGATGTGGAACTGTGGACGTCCAGAGCCACCATCGTCACGCCCTCCTTACGCGCGTGCCCCGGCGAGGAGGATGAAGGGCAGCCGCAGCAGTCCTTAGAACGTTGTTTTGGCACGCGTCAAGGTTTTCACACGGTTGTCTCCCAACGGGGCACTTCCCTCAGTGGAAATGAACCCTTGTGCCTATGAAGAGGGAGCTTGGAGGGAGGGTGTATTCCAACATCGTTGACGAGTCTTGGGCTTGCACTGGTCCTCTTCCTCCTCCTCCTCCTCCCTCCTCCTCCTCCTCCTCTTCCTCCTCCTCCTCCTCCCTCCTCCTCCTCCTCCTCCTCCTCCTCCTCCTCCTCCTCCTCCTCTTCCTCCTCCCCCTCCTCATCCAACTCCTCCTCCTTCCCCTCGATCCCCCGAGGCACGGTCGCCCCGGCCTGATGTTCAGCTTCACGTCCTCGCCGCCGACGTCGAAGAGCTCGCCGTCCAGGGCCCGCAGCGCGCGGTGCGCCTCGGCCCAGGCGCGGAAGACCACGAAGCCCACTCCCTTCTTGGGAAGCGCGATTGCCTGGCCGAGGCGGGCGACGGACGACGAACGACGAACGAGGACGAACGACGAATGACGAACGACGACGACGACGACGACGACGACGACGACGACGACGACGACGACGGAAGGACGGACGGACGGATGGACGGACGGACGGACGAACGGACGACCGAGGACGGAAGGCGGACGACCGACAGATGACGGAGGATGGTGACGACGCCGCCGACGACGACGGCGGCGGTCCGAACTGCGAACTCGGTCAAGGCATCGGGTGGAGGTTTGATTGCTAATGGACGCTGAACCAAGCAGGCGGCGCTCCTGGGATGAACTCCCTGGAGGGCTCTGGCGAACGTCGCCCCATCATGCTGCTTCCTTGAAGTGACCTTCGAGGATAGAGGGCAGAACATCCACCCCGATAATGACCACCCCGACACGCGAAGCCGTTTAGTAAACGCACCCAAATAAGGAATCAAAGGGGGCAAATCTGTTTAGTAAACGCCCAAAGGCCGTTAGGAAACGCCAATTGTCCGGTCCGGGTGTTTCTTCCTCCCTTGGGAGGAAGTGTCATGACAGGGGGGCGGTGAGCCCTGCCGCACAACTGGATAATTAGGATCGTGCAGTCCGCAGGCTGCGGAGTGCTGGGACCGTCCTCCATCTGCAAGGTGGCCTGCCAGAGCGGGCGGAAGTGGTCTGACATCTCGCCCCTGGCTCTCGCCTCGCCCTCGTAATCAAGAGCTGCCCCGCCACTCCACCACTCGCGGGCTCTCCTTGGCGAGCGGCGGCTGGCGGCCGGCTGGCTCCTCAGGATAATGGCTGCCACCGCGGACTCAGATCAAAAGAAGCGTCGGGCCAGCTGCGGGGCCAGCCCGCGCCGAACCGCTGTTGCTCGAGCAATTCTTCTGGCCGTCTTGGTCCTCCAGCTCTGCAGTGCAGCTGGGACCCGTGCGGCGGTACTGCACTGCCGACAGCGCAACTCGCCGTGGCCACCCAGGCAGCAGAGCTCGTGGGAGTCCACCGCGACTGGCGCTTGCTGCTCAGGGCTGCGCGCGGCCGCACCCCTCCACTCGGCCTGTCCCGAAATCCTATCGGCGTGGGGTTCTACGGCGTGCGCCGGGAAGGGGGGTCGACTGCATCGCGCACACTGGCTCCAGCTTGCAACCCCGCGAATAAGCCCCACCGTCCGCAGGAGGAGGTCGCAACCTCTGCAGATGGCCGCCTCCGGCGCCGGGAGGGGCGGCTGCCTCTGGAACTTGGGCGGCCCCAGCCCCCCGTGCCAGAATCAGCGTCTGCCTCCAGATCCCCGCGCGCAGCTCCTTGGGCGCAGCGCGCGGTGGGCGCCCCCCGTTCGCGCCTCCGTGACGGGGGAGGCGTCCTGCCCCACGGGCCCATGCCCTCGGGAGCGGAGCTCCTGCGGCGTCGCTGTGCTCGGCTCGTCTGGCTCGTTCACTCCTCGCGCATTTTGCTGCACTCGGCTCGCGCGCAGGCGCCCTGTTCCCACGGATCGGGGCTGCGGCGGGCAAGGAGAATCGTTGACCTGTGACCAGGATGGCGTCCGCCGCAGCGACGCGCCGGCCCTGAGTGCGCCGCGCACCTTTCTGCGTGCGGCGCAGGCCAGCTCGGGCCTTGCACGGCGTCGAGTGGTTCGGACGTGCCAGCCTCCGTCCGAGAGCTCCACGGTCCAGCCCGCCCAGCGGCCCGCCTCAAAGTAGGACGGCGGCCCGCCGCCGTCGGTGCAGACCCTCCTTCCCCAGAGTCTGTCCGCTGCGTCCCAGCTATGGGCCTCCTAGTCCTGGTCGGTGGCGACGTCAGGCAAACACATGTTTTTCGTCAGCGGCGAGGCGGTCGACGATGAGCAGCCGGGGGGGGGCAGCAGCAGCCAGGCGCGCAGGGCCAGAGCGCGGTGGGCGGCCGTGGCAAACCACGGCGGTAAGGGTGGCGGGAGGGCGGCTGCCAGCAGCTGGATCTGGCGGGCGGGCGCAGTGGGACACCACGAACGTCAGGCAAACACAGGCCAAAGATGATGAGACGGGGGGGGAGGAATGAAAGAGGAGATGGAGGCGGAGGGGAGGAGCGGGAGGCGGGGGACGACGAGGTCGAGGAGGAGGAAGCGGAGGAAGCGGACGAGGAGGCGGAGGAGGAGGAGGATGAAGACCAGTGTAAAGCCAAGAACCATCAACGATGTTGGAATAAACCCTCCCTCGAAGCTCCCTCTTAATAGGCCCCTACAGCGGTTCATTTCCACTCATCGTTGGAAGACAACCGATTGAAGACCCTGAAGCATGCCAAAACATTGTTCTCGGGATTCCAACGCCACGATTCAACCTGAATGTTGCGTCCTGACGATGCTGAGTTGTGCCAGAACGCGATTCCTGGGACTTCAACACCGCGAATCATCGTAACTGTTGCGCCCTCATAATCCTGAACCCTTCCCAAAAGCTATGTTTGGTACGCTGATCATGGGAATCCGTAAAACTCTTGCGAATTTTAGAAACGAATGTGCGCGGCGCTAAAGCGAGAACCACATGATGAAAAGGAACCGCCCTCAATCCGTGAAACTCTGGAAAACGTTCGAAATGCATGCACGCGGCGCTAAAGCGAAAACTACATTTTGAAATCGGCCCGCCCTCAATCCGTAAGTTGCAACTGTTGAAACGAATGTGCGCGGCGCTAAGGCGAGAGCCACATTTTGAAAACGACCCGCCCACACCTGCGAAACTCTTGCAACTGTTTTAAACGAATGTGCGCGGCGCTGAGGCGAGAGCCACATTTTGGAAACGGCCCGCCTTCCATCTGTGAAATGGCTGCAAGTGTTTAAGCTTCGAGGTCATACATGGCGAAGAATTCTCAGGCGAAATGCGCGGCCCACCCTAAAAACTGGCCTCGACAGGAGGAAGAGGAGGAGGAGGAGGTGGAGGAAGGGGGGCAAGAGGAGGAGGAGGAGGAGGAGGAGGAGGAGGAGGAGGAGGAGGAGGAGAAGGAGGAGAAGGAGGAGGAAGCGGAGGAGGAGGAGAAGGAGGAGGCGGAGTCAGCGGAGCTGGGCGAGGAGGCTGAGGAAATGAAAGGGGAGGGAGGAGGAAGAGGGGGGGGGATGAGGGAGAGGGCAGGAGGGGCGGGAGCGAGGAGGGGCGGAGGGCCCACAATAGGGCGGTCGGAGCTCGGAACCCGTCTCCTCCTTTGATGCAAAAGACGAGACAGCCGGCGGAAGCCCGAGGCACGGCGCGCGTGCTCCGACGCGCGCCGAGACTGCCCGCCACCGTTGCCCAGGTCGGGCGAGGTCGGTTCGGGGGGGGGATGGCGAGGGGGAGGGGGGAAACGGGCGAGCAGGAGAGGATGGGGAGGGGGAGGAGGAGGGCGGGTGAGGCCCGCATGCAAAAACGACGGGCCGCAAGTGCTCGAATCATGCCGCCATCGGCCTGACCTAAGGAACGATATGGAAGGAACGAAGCCCCTTTTTCTCTTAGGAATAGCGCAGAAACGAGCGACTAGTAATACATAGCGCATGAGGAACGATAAGTGAAGCATGCGAACCAAAAGAACGACCGAACCCCTTTTGAAAAGCAAATGCTTCTTATTCACGCCGCTCGCTGTAGCAAGGCGGTACCATCTCCCCTGGGCCGCGGGGGCTCCCTCTCGCGCCCCGCCCCTTCTCCGCTGCGGTGGCGCAGCCCGGCGGCGACCTCGGAGGTCGCCGCGCGGCACTACCTGATTGACATTGTGCTCGGGCGCCTCAATGGGGAAGAATTTCATGCCGACGTCGCACTGCCGGTGGCCCTGGATATAGAGGAGGTCAAAGAGGAGCCCGAGCCCCGTGCCACCGACGAAATCGCGGAAGCAGGGGCGAAGCATGTAGTCTCGCACTCCGCGCTGGCTGCAGGCAAACCAAGCGCCCTGCCACTCGACCTCCGGGGTGCAAGGGATCTCCTCGGCAGACCAGTACGGCATGGGCAAGACAGGCCGGCGGATCTTCAACGGCTTCGCAAACTTGTTGAACAACTCCCCGTTATCGTCGATTGTCATCTTCCAATTCACCGGCTTGTCCGAAGTCGGCTTCAGATCAGGAGTGTCGTGCCCCAGCCTCGGCAGGAATGGGCCGTACTGGGGCAGGGCACCAGGCGCGTGGCTGATTCGATAGCTCCGGCGGGGCGTGCGCCGGCACTCCGAACCCGTCGCGGTGCATCGCGCCATACTCAAGCTCGAACTCGGGGCCCCAGTTTGGCTTGTCGTCGTAGATGATGGCTCACATCACAGGCCAGCCCAGACTGACGGCCGCGCTGCGCAGCATGCGTGGCTGGTGCGCGCGGCCGCGAGCAAGCCGCAAGTGGGCGCCCCTGCGCGCGCCCACGGGGTCGCAGCGCGCATCGCACCGCGCGGCGCCGCGTGCCAGCCAACGGCAGACAAGACACGTTCGCTGCCGCGACCAGCACGGAACCCCAGCCTCCCAGAACAGGCCCCTGGGTCGCTTGAGCCACAATTTCCACGGAGAAGAAGGGGGGGAGAGGAGGAATAGGAGGGGGAGAAGGGCCCGCGCATCTGACTGAATAGTGTCGTCGTCTGCTCGCCGTTAGCGGGCGAGCTTGGAACCTCTTCCGCGTCGCGCGCCTCTCGGATGACCGCGTCGAGAACGATGGGATTGGCAAAGCAGGGCTTGCCGCGATTCTCATTCTTGGGATGGCGGCAGGTCTTAAAGCAACTGGTGGATGGATGCTACTGTACGATTGCTGGAATGGTGGCCTGGGCTTTCATCCGTGAATGCCCAGGCCAAAAAAATCCGCGCGCGCCGCGCTGCCGGCGCGACGTTCGTCACCGAGCCGGTCGAAAACGCACATGCTGCGCGTTCCTACTCTCGGTAAGTTGCGAGAGCGCGCCACGAAACCTGGGCGCTTCCGTCTGGCCCCCCGGGCCACGGCGGCCTCCGTTCGAGCTCGGGCTCGGCAGGACCCGCGCGCCCACATGCTTTCGGAGTCGACCCGCCGGCATTCGCCCCTGCTCTGCTGGTCGCCTCGGGGAGGACCCCGGGG